CCCCCCCCCCCCCCCCCCCCCCCCCCAGCCTGCTTTGAGCCATTTGGCCCAGTGTGGGGCAGTTGCCCCACCACAGGGCCCCACTGCATGGGCTAAAGCAGATGGCAAAGAGAAGGGGACATACAGCTAGAGACAGTAAGGCTGAAGTGAAGGGATGGTTGAAGAAAGTTGGGGAGACTAGGGAAGACAGGCAGGACCTTGACATGGCAAAGACAGAAAGTCAGATAAAGGGCTAGGGAAGAGGATCAGAAAAGAAGCCTGAAGGAGTGAAGAGAGGAATGTGAATCAAAAAGAGTTGGAAAGTAGTTGTAGAGAATGAGGTGAGAAGGACCCAGAAAACAGGGGAAACAGATAAATTAAAGGCCAGCAGCAATATTGTTATTTGTATTATATTGCCTAGAGATCATAACTGAGATTGTGGCACCATCATGCCAGGCACGGTACATTACTTCAAGAAGCTTACAATAAACTAGACAAGAGACCAAGCACAGGAGGGGAAACTGAGGCACAGGGGGGCATTGACTTGCTGAGGGTCATCCAGCAGATCAGTAGCAGAGTTGGGAACAGAATCAATATCTCCAGGCTCCTTGTTCAGTGTCCTGCTGATGTGAACATGCTGCATTAGGCTAGTGATCACAAAAGAGAAAGCGTGAGGAATAGAACTGCTTGAAGAATATATGCTTCTATTGTTTTTAACGGTTTATAGCCGAGCAGGAACCATTAAAGGAGATGTCTATCACTGAGAGAAAAGCAAATGGCCCTAAGAGGTCAGAGGACAGGTGCATATTTGATTTTCTCCCCCTTTTCTTCCCAGGGTTGGAGTTCTGGAAGTTTCTTTTGTGTTCACTATCTTCTGAACTTTGGATTTTGGACCTGTGTGTAAGAGATAATAGTAATTTTAATCAGTCTTAGAACTTACACCACACTTCACAACTTTAAAGTCATGTAGAAATATTAACTAAATAGCCAAGTCTCCCAATACCCGCGGGAGAAAAAATTATTTTCCCTCTTACTCATTTTACAGCAGAGGGAACACAGTGATATTAAGTGATTTGCCCAAGGTCACAGAAGTAGCAGGATTGGAGGCAGGAGTAGAATTCAGGCCTTCCTGCCGTCTTATCACCTCCTCAGTCCGTGATAAGTCCATACCATGAATGCTGCATTGAGTCCCAATGGCCAAATGAAGTGTCCTAGCTCTTTCTAGCCACCTCTTGCCTGTGACCACGGAGTCCCAGGGCATTTCTACCCTGTGGAGTGCTCCTAACTGTGAAAACAGAACAGTGCACTAGATACTGCTCCTACCATGACTTGGCCAACAGCCACGTTACTGAGACTAGAGCCAAAGCTATGGCAGCAGAACCCCCTTGTGTAGTCACGTCCGCTTTTCCATTTTCCAAAATGAGAGATTTCCCTTTCTGGTGGAACAGCACTACCCCTCAGAACGGTAGCTATAGCAACAGAAGCTTTCTTCCACCATCACAGCTCGGTCTACTCTAGCGGGTAGGCTGGCGTGGCCATGTCAGTTGGGGGTGTGGAGAGAGGGAGAGGGGAAGAGGAGGTGATGGCAGATTTTTCACATCCCTGACCAACGTAGCTACGTCTACCTAATTTTTAAGTGTAGACCAAGCCATATTCTTTGCCTTTCTGGCCAAGGAGGTTTATGAGGATCCCTTTAGGACTAGAGAAGAGAGAATGATGAGGACAGAGGGAATGTCTACTCTGTAACTGCAATTGAGGAAGACTTTGCTAATATAAAGCAAAGCTAAGCTGTGAGCAAGAGGCAGGCCCCTGCTCAGGGAACTTGGCATGAACAAGGCTGAGTGTGTAAAACACTAATTGGTAGTATGCCGAGGTATGGAATCATAATCCGTGCTAGGTACTCGCTATAAGGTGGTGAGTATAAGTTGAAAGCACATTCCAGAAGGATGGTAACTCTACCTCCTTAAAAAGGATCTTAGTACCCACACATTCCCCACAGCTAATAGGGACATACTGACCCAGGTTCAGGAAAGGGTCTACAATGACAGCATGATGGATAGAGACATGTTGATCAAATCACCAGGTGCAGAGTGATGGGTGGTATCTAGTTAACGTTAGAGTGTGGCAACCTGACACCTCAGGAGTAAGATGTAACTTGTGTGTACCTGTATATAAAGTTGTGACCTGGAAGAGCTGTCTTTGTCCAGCCAAAGGGGCAATAGGACCTCCCACTGTCTGAGCTGGTCCGTTGTCGGGATGGCGGGGGTGGGGGCAATGCAGTGTGGTTCATTAGAGTCTACTGACAACTATCACTGTACTTTGTTTGACAATAAACCTGGCCAGACGCCTTCAATCCTTTTCAGATTTTGTGGTCTTTGGGGGGCTCCCCTGGAGTCTGCTGAGTTGACCACTTGTGCAAAGTCAACACAACACACAAGAAGAATGGTGCAGCCGAATGGTGATCATCATTGGCGGAGCAGATCAGTGAGGACACCACATTGGTGACTTCTAACTACCCACACACTTCATGCTGGCTAGTATGCTAAAAACAATAGTATGGGCATTGGCTACAGGCCCAAGACTGACTGGCACCCTGGATCCACATGAGCCACATAAGAACATAAGAACGGCCGTACCGGGTCAGACCAAAGGGCCATATAGCCCAGTATCCTGTCTGCCAACAGTGGCCAGCACCAGGTGCTCCAGAGAGGGTGGACCAAAGACAATGATCAAGCGATTTGTCTCCTGCCATCCCTCTCCAGCCTCGGACGAACGGAGGCCAGGGACACCATTTCTATCCCCTGGCTAATAGCCTTTTATGGACCTAACCTCCATGAAATTATCTAGCTTCTCTTTAAACTCTATTATAGTCCTAGCCTTCACAGCCTCCTCTGGCAAGGAGTTCCACAGGTTGACATTCCTCTTTAGTTTCTCTCTATGCATCAGCTGTGTCTTTATCTGTTTCACACCTCCTTGCCCAGAGAGTAGCTCTACCTCCATCTGGGGCTGGGCATACGGTTGTGGGAATTACTCATTGATTCAGTTTATGTAGCTCTCTTGAAAGGGGCTTGTTTAGTTTAAATATATGCCAGATAGGCGACAGTTGAATGTGATACTGATACTCAGTGAAGCATGGCCCTGCATATCTCAAGTTGCTCAGCAGAACAGGTCATATTCAGAGAGGCATCAGTTTTACTGCAGTGAACGTTCAGCATGGGGTATGGTGGGGGTAGGGTTTTACCCGCTTGGAGTTACAGGGGTGTTGTGTCCCTGGTATTTCAGTGCTAGGCGCCCTTACAAAGTGCCGACACCTAAGCTGAAATGAGTATCACACCCCCAGCAGCCACTGTACAAAACATGCTGCTCCGTTCTGTTCTCACTGGCCAAGATCCTGATGCACTCGCTCAGCCCTCCTTAGCGAAGAGCAAGAAATGACTGGAGCTGGTGGAGAGATGCAAAACAAAACCCTGAGTGTTCAAACCATCCTAACCAGCACCTCAAAACATTGCAAACTGTTTTCAGCATGCATAGGAAAAAGCTTGGTCCCCTCCTCCCCCATGCACACAGGTGGCCTGAGCTGTTATTTTACTTTCCACATTCCGGTGACATAAGTGATTGGAGAATGTTTAGAGAAGGAAAGAAAGGCCAGGGGCAGGCACGGTGCCGTGACGGGAGGGCCAAGTACCTGAAGAGACTGACTGGGCTTTCATTGAGGTGCTGCCTTCTCCTTTCTTCAGGGTGATCACAGTCCAAGTAGACACATGCAGGAACCAGATTTTGTTGTCAGAGGCCACTGATGACTGCATTACATAAGCCCATGAAGGCAGCACTCTCTTGATATGCCAGGTATAACTCTGCCCAAACATCGTTACCACAAAGGTTCAGAGAGAGGCTACAAAAATGATTGGGCCTTTGGAACAGCTGCCATATGAAGAGAGATGAAAAAGATTGGGACTTTTCAGATGAGAAAAGAGGAGACCAAGTGGAGGATACGATAGAGATCTATAAAATCATGAGTGGTGTGGAGACAGTGAACAAGGAAACGTTATTTACTTGTTCTTGTTATGGGAACTAGGGGTCACCAAATGAAATTAATAGGCAGCAGATTTCAAACAAACAAAAGGAAGTATTTCTTCACACAGCCCACAGTCAACCTGTGGAACTCCTTGCCAGAGGGTGTTGTGAAGACCAGGATTTTAACAGGGTTAAAAAAAAGAGCTAGATAAATTTATGAAGGATAGAGCTATCAATGACTATTAGCTAGGATGGGTAGGAATGGTGTCCCTAGCCTCTGTTTGTCAGAAGCTGGGAATGGGCTACAGGAGATGAATATGTAAGGGGACTGTTACCCCTTACTAAAACTCTGTGGGAGTTTTTTGGTTTACCAGCTTCAGAAGGGGAAGGGTCCATGAGAGTTTGGTGAGATCTTTTTGGAGTCCCTCATAGTCTGCTTCTGTCTTGACTATCCTAAACAGTTTGGTATCATCCGCAAACTTTACCACCTCACTGCTTACTCCTTTCTCCAGATCATTTATGAATAAGTTGAAAAGGATTGGTCCAGGACCTGACCCTGGGGGACACCACTAGTTACCCCTCTCCATTCTGAAAATGTACCATTTATTCCTACCCTTTGTTTCCTGTCTTTTAACCAGTTCTCAATCCAAGAAAGGACCTTCCCTCTTATCCCATGGCCATGTAATTTACACAAGAGCCTTTCGTGAGGAACCTTGTCAAAGGCTTTCTGAAAATCTAAGTATATCATATCTACTGGATCCCCTTTGTCTGAATGTTTGTTAACCCCTTCAAAGACCTCTAATAAATTAGTAAGACATGATTTCCCTTTACAGAAACCATGCTGACTTTTGTCCAACAAATTATGTTCTTCTACATGCCTCACAATTTTATTCTTTACTATTGTTTCAACTAATTTGCCCGGTACTGAAGTTAGACTTACCGATCAGTAATTGCCAGGATCGCCTCTAGAGCCCTTTTAAAATATTGGTGTCACACTGGCTACCTTCCAGTCATTAGGTACAGAAGCCGATTTCAAGAATAGATGATCTAGTGAGAACTAGTGTAACCTTATGAAGATCCTTGACTTGTCAAGCGCTACACGTAGAACATCATTTGATAGACTAGATATAACATTGCTAGGGATGTTAAATTGCGGGTAATTGACTAATCGAATAGGGCTGTTGCTACACTTGAAAGGTGAAAGTGCCATGTGGAGCCCGGGGTCAGCTGTGGGCTCAGCCGTGAAGACTGAAGCAAAGAAATCATTTAGTTTCTCCGCAATGGCTTTATCGTCCTTGATTGCTCCTTTTATATCTCGATTGTCTAGGGGACCCACAGGTTTTTTAGCAGGCTTCCTGCTTCTAATGTACTTTAAAAACATTTTGTTATTTCTTTGAGAGTTTTTGACTAGCTGTTCCTCAAAATAATTGTATGCTTTTCTTACTACATTTTTTACACTTGATTTGACAGTGTTTATGTTCTTTTCTATTTATCTCACTAGGATTGGACTTCCACCTCTTAAAAGATGCCTTTTTGTCCCTCGCTGCTTCTTTTACATGGTGGTTAAGCCACGGTGACTCTTTTTTAGGTCTCTTGCTATGTTTTTAAATTTTGGGTATACATTTAAGTTGGGCCTCCATTATGGTGTCTTTAAAAAGTTTCCATGCAGCTTGCAGGGATTTGGCTCTAGTCATTGTGCCTTTTAATTTCTGTTTAACTAACCTCCTCAATTTTGCATAATTCCCCTTTTTAAAATTAAATGTCAGAGTGCTGGACTGCTGAGGTGTTCTTCCCACCACAGGAATATTAAATGGTATTATGTTATGGTCACTATTCCCAAGCGGTCTTGCAGGAATATTAAATGGTATTATGTTATGGTCACTATTCCCAAGCGGTTTTGCAGCGGTTATATCCTGGACCTGATCCTGCGCTCCACTCAGGACTAAATCGAGAATTGCCTGTCACCTTGTGGGTTCCTGTACCAGCTGCTCCAAGAAGCAGTCATTTAAGCTATTGAGAAAATTTATCTCTGCTTCTCTTCCTGAGGTGACATGTATCCAGTCAATATGGGGATAATTAAAATCCCCCATTATTATAGAGTTCTTTATTTTGGTAGCCTCTCTAATCTCCCTCAGCATTTCAATGTCAGTATCGCTGTCCTGGTCAGGTGGTCGGTAATATATCCCTACTGCTAATTTCTTATTATTGAGCAAGGAATTACTATCCATAGCGATTCTATTGAACATGTTGATTCATTTAATATTTTTATTTCATTTGATTCTACATTATCTTTCACATACAGTGCCACTCCGCCACCCAGCCGGCCTGCTCTATCCTTTCGGTATATTTTATATAGCCCCACTAATGCTGCAACAACTACACCTCTATTTTCAGTGTAAAGGCTAGAGCAGCACTAGCTCCTACCCCTGGAGATGGGCAGTCACCACCAGCTTCTCCAGGGCTGGCATGGAGGTACCAAAAAAGGACGTTGGAAAGGGGGAGTTATGGGAATGGAAGTTGGGAGCCACGTTATAGAAGCAGTAATTGGAATGGGACAGGTATTGGAGGGACAGTTAGAATGAGACACACAATGAAACCAGCCTTTCATGGGTATGGTGCTTTGAATCAGAAGCTCACAGGTGGAGCTGGGCATTTATAGTAGTGACAGTTAGGACTGAAGAGTGACAATCGGTCACTAGGGATAACAACTGTAGCCAGCCAGTACTGAGCTTGACAGTGGGAACTGGGCAGATCTGGGAAGATGTTGGAGACTAGTCCTTTGGACAGTAATGGCTAGAATCAGGCACTTGGGGGAATGGTAGAAATGGAGATCAGATGTGGACTCTTTATGGAAACAACAGTTGGAAAAGACTAGTGTTTATTGCACCTGGTTACACCAGAGAGTGACAAAGAGCAGGGTTTCCTCTATTCTTTTCCATTCACATGTGATTTTTTCCAGCCATGTGCAGAAGAAATTTTTTTGTGCACCAAGGCATGTGCACAAAAATGTGCATAACCAGTAGAAACAAAAACCTAGTTGTGGGTGCTCTGCTAATTAGGTGGGTAGCATTCAGGTATCTCCTGAGAGGCCGCACAAGTGCACAGCTTTCAGGAAACATTAGACAGGAGCAGAATTTTATCCTAGGAACAACACTCTGAATGGATGGAGCTAAGCAAGAATGGAAAGGAGAATTAGATAATTAGCATCTAGAAAAAAAATTAAAGAAATTATGGTGAGAACAGCAGAACCTACATTGGAGGAAAGAAACAAAGAGCAGGCAGGAAAGAAAAATTCATAAGAAGCTGGATAAAATACAGGAAAAGAGAAATGAAAGTGAGACAAAGAAGTGACAACGGAAGGAGCAAGAGAACCAATAAAAAGATGCCTGGAGGAATGAAAGCAGAGGGGAAAAAAAGCAGAGCAGGGCACTGCCCCTCCCCCCCAAGTGGTGAATGGATAACTATCTATTTCTGTCTCGCCACAGGGAATGTGACAGGTTTGATTTTTCTAATTCAGTAGTTAGGAGAAGAGGTAAATAGAAATGAACGGCAACAGCTCTCTTACTAAAGTGTGTATGCAAATCAGTGGGGGTTGTGAGTCTCAGATGAAGCGGAATAAGTGCCCAACTCTGGCTACCACAGGAGAGTATAGCTTATAACAGTAGAGGGTGGGTCTTGTCAGACCCTGATCTCTCACATTCCTAATTACCACGTGTGAAAAGTGGGATGGGGTATAGCACAGAGAAGGATCTGTTATCACAGGCAACTCATAGGTCAGATCTTTCATGAGAACATAAGAATGGACACACTGGGTCAGACCAAAGGTCCATCTAGCTCAGTATCCTGTTTGCCAACAGTGGCCAATGCCAAGTGCCCCAGTGGGAGCAAACAGAAGATCAAGTGATCCCTTTCCTGTCATCCATTTCCAGTCTCTGACAAACAGAGGCTAGGGACACCATTCCCACCCATGATCGCTAATAGCCATTGATGAACCTAACCTCCATGAATTGAGCTAGTTCTTTTTTGACCCGTTAAAGTCCTGGTCTTCACAACATACTCTGGCAAGGAGGTCCACAGTTTGACTTTCCCTAAACTCCTGTCTGCCATGCCACTTGTGTAAGTTTGTGCAATGAGACCAGCTCATGCATCTCATCCTCATCAAGTTAGTAGCATGCTGGCACATCATGATGTGACAATAATGGCTTGAAACACCTCCACACCATGGTCCAACTTTGCAACATCAGATGCAAGAATTACAGGGGATACATCTATATTGTACAAAAACCAAAAATAATTTAAAAAAAACAGGCAACAATGAGTCTCAGGACTACAGACTGGAGCTTGTAAGGCTTCTGCTAAGGCACTAAAAATAGTGATGTAGAGGTTTCTACGTGGGCTTTGAAGTTTCCTACCCCTCTGGGTTTCAGAGCCCAAATGGGAATATCCACACAGCTATTTTTACTGCCAGAGTGTGAATCAGAATCTGTAGATCTGGGCTCTGAAACTTTTTTGGGTTTTTTTTCCAGTACTGATGTACTCTCAGTCTTTATTAATATCTTCCAAACAAGACTTGCTGAACAAGGCTTCATCCATTAAAATCTGGGCAATCTTGCAGGGAGAGAAAGAAAATGGGATGGGTAGCAGTGACCCTCTCCCCTTCTGATGAATGAGAGTCTCTGCATTCAAGGAGATGGTTTGGGCAATGGCATTCCCCAAGCCTTATGCCTGCTTACGGTAATAACACCACAGTCTTCTCTTCACATGCCTCAAATATGTATGAGACCCTCTCCCCACTGCTTGTGTTGAATAATTTATGGAGGAATAATGAACTATTGTAGGAGGCTCTACATAT